TTTGGTGGCAGCAAGTGAACGGTTTTAAATTTTTAGTAACAAGCGGTGGGAGTCACGGCTTCGCATGGAGTATCTTGCATTTTTCACTGTTGAACTTCATTTTGTTAGTTTTGGCCCCTCTCTCTAATCTGTCAAGATGGTTTTGAATCCTGCTCCTGTCCTCTGGAGTATTGTCTCTCCCTCCCAATTTGGTGTCGTCTGCAAACTTGATGATCCTGCCTTCTGGCCCTTCATCTAACTCATTAATAAAGATCCTGAACAGGACCGGGCCCAGGACGGAACCTGTTTGTGGCACTCCACTTGTCACTTCTTTCCAGGATGAAGAGGAAGCCTTGGGGAGAATCACCCTCTGGGTTCATCCATTTAACTAATTACAGATCCACCTCACCATAGTTTTGCCTAGCCCACATTGGACTCATGATTTGGAAACTACAGATCACTTCATGTATCAGCATCCCGCAACACTTATTTCCTATCAAACTAGAGTTCCTAGAGAAATCAACCTATGACACAAAAATGAGAGATTGATATCCCCCGTTACTAAGGACTGAGACTTTTTGTGATAGCTGCATTGCACAAGTCTGTGTGTGAGTAGATAGAGACAATCCACAACCTCTTACCCATCATCTTCTATCGCCTATGGAGGACAAAAGACTGCCTATTTCAAAACACCAATAACCCTATGTGACGTGATTTTTGTTCCTGGGTTATAAATGTCATTTTCTGATTGGTTCTATCATAAAAACACGGAAAAAGTGTATTAAATTGCAAAAAATTGTTTTTGTGGGACGTCCTGTAGCACATACTGCTATAAATTTTGGATGAATATCTCCTTGAGTCTCAACCAATTTGACATAGTTTGTGGCAGCCACAAAAACAAAGTTTTTGGAATAGAACAATTACTTTCAAAGTAAGGACCGCACAATTAAACAGGAAATAGTATTTTCAAACCAGGAATGGATACTTTTCAAACTTTTTTACATAGTGTAATAATAGTCCTCAATCGTCCAAGAATATGGAAGGATGGAGAACCTACCGGAAGAGGTTTGTGCAAGAAAGTGATGGCCACGCGCTGTTCCTTGGGCAGGTCGTGGACCAGAGTGTTCCCCACGGAGATCCCAATCACCTTTCCACCAAGGATCTGGTTGGCATCTCGGCCCTAAAGGAAGTAATGGAAATCTCAGACCAATGTTCCTCTCTCATCTCTTTTTGAACAATTAACATTATTTACCATTTATTGTCGATTGCAGGTTAGTAGGGATGTGCAAAATGGCAGAAATCCATTTCGGAGAGGAGGGGAGTTCATTTCGAATCCGAATTTCAAATATTTTGTTATCTGTGTTGTTGAAGGCTGAACACCACTCAGTTGCTGAACACCACTCAGCAACAGGGGAATTCCGGACAGCAAACAGTCAAGTATTGTCGAAGGCTTTCATGGCCGGAATCACTGGGTTGTTGTAGGGTTTTTCGGGCTATATGGCCATGGTCTAGAGCAGGGGTAGGGAACCTTTGGCCCTCCAGCTGTGGTGGACTTCAACTCCCACAATTCCTTGAGGCTCGGCATTCGCCCCAAAGGCTTACCTTGGCCCAATGCCGAGCCTCAAGGAATTGTGGGAGTTGAAGTCCACCACAGCTGGAGGGCCAAAGGTTCCCTACCCCTGGTCTAGAGGCATTCTCTCCTGACGTTTCGCCTGCATCTATGGCAAGCATCCTCAGAGGTGAGGATGCTTGCCATAGATGCAGGCGAAACATCAGGAGAGAATGCCTCTAGACCATGGCCATATAGCCCGAAAAAACCTACAACAACCCAAACAATCAAGTGTCAGTTAACACCTCCCAAACAAAGGATGCCTCCAGGCAACAACACTGATTGACTTTGCAGCTGCAAAGCTACTCAGTGCAAATCAAGCTTGCCAATTGCAACATTTACACTTGCTTCAAACAGACAAGGGTTCTTCCTTCCACCCTGGACAATCCATAGATAGATAGATAGATAGATAGATAGATAGATAGATAGATAGATAGATAGATAGATAGATGACTAGATGGCTGGCTGGCTGGCTGGCTGGATGGATGGATGGCTGGATGGATGGATGGATGGCTGGCTGGCTGGCTGGCTGGCTGGCTGGCTGGCTGGCTGGCTGGATGGCTAGATAGATAGATAGATAGATAGATAGATAGATAGATGGATGGATGGATGGATGGATGGATGGATGGATGGATGGATGGATGGATGGATGGATGGATGGATGGATGGATGGCTGGCTGGCTGGCTGGCTGGCTGGCTGGCTGGATGGCTGGATGGCTGGCTGGATGGATGGCTAGATAGATAGATAGATAGATAGATAGATAGATAGATAGATAGATAGATAGATAGATAGATAGATAGATAGAGGCTGGGAAGGGGCACCCAGGGGCCATTGGATGGATGGATGGATGGCTGGCTGGCAGGGCTGGATGGATGGATGGATGCATGGATGCATGGATGGCTAGATAGATAGATAGATAGATAGATAGATAGATAGATAGATAGATAGATAGATAGATAGATAGACAGACAGACAGACAGACAGACAGACAGACAGACAGACAGACAGACAGATGAGGGTTGAATGAAAAGCAATGCCTCCACCTTTGTAACTCCTCAACAGATGGCAGTACTAGTATGCAGAAGGTACTGGCTTGTTTGGTAGACTCTCCTCTACAGTTCCATTTTGGTGGGAAGCCTTAGCATTGAGCGGTTGTGTTGTTAAAGTGTGAAGTATGGAACCCTGCGCAGACGTTCTGTCAATGCAACTTAAGCAACGTGCAGAATCTCCCCAAAGGAGATTCATCAGAGAATGCAAGCTGTTTATGGGGATTGTGTTGATGTGAGTATTGTGCGTCGTTGGGCGAGTAAGTTTAAAGATGTTGAGGTGGGAACATCTGACTTGCATGACAAACAACAGGTTAGATCATTTTCACCCCTCTTTACCGTCTCTTAAAATTCAAGATAAATATGTCTCATCCACAAGCCTCTCCCTTCTCTGAAACCCAACCTGTATCTCTGTTGGGATGGAACTGACCCCTCCACGATTGTCTCCAGATGGGACTTTACGGTCCATTAATGGAACATAAATCCATCAGGGAGGAACAGTCACCGGGTGCAAAAAAAACCAAACAAAACACCCTATAATATGAGTTATTTTCTTTCAGAGAGAAGCAGAGTAGCAAGGATTCATGTCAAGACCCGAATTTGCAGAAAAATCCAACTCATGTTTCTACAATGATGGAATTCCAGCTCTGGCTTAGGAGAGGCATTCGGTTTATGCCCTAAAGGAAGGAGCTCAACCGAAGCAAAAGAAAGTAACATGCAATGCAGTTTTCAGTTAAACAATGCATCATCCACATGACAGATCTGGTTTCATCCAAACATGGATTTCTGAGCTTCGTATTAGGTAATTTTCCCCTGACATTAAGTCCAGTCTTATCCAGTTCTGGGACTCTGGTGCTCATCTCTATTCCTAAGCCGAAGAGCCAGCGTTGTCCATAGACACCTCCAAGATCATGTGGCCGGCATGACTGCATGGAGCGCCCTTACCTTCCTGCTGGAGCGGTACCTATTGATCGACTCACATTTGCATGTTTTTGAACTAATAGGTTGGCAGAAGCTGGAGCTGATAGTGGAAGCTCACGCCGCTTCCCGGATTCAAACCTGCGACTGTTTGGTCAACAAGCTCAGCAGCTCAGTGCTTTAACCAACTGCGCCATCGTATTAGTTGTGCATTTTTTTCTGTATGCAATTTACTTATTGCATATTGAGTATTTGGACTTCTCTCACGTTCGACAAATGTAAGTGTCCTTCTTTCTCACAATGGACAATTACATTGTCAAACCAGGAGAATACTGTTGTTGTTTATTTGTTTAGTCGCTTCCGCCTCTTGGTGACCTCCTGGACCAGCCCAGGCCAGAGCTCCCTGTTGGCCGTGGCCACCCCCAGCTCCTTCAAGGTCAAGCCCATCCCTTCAAGGACTGGTTGGGTCTTCTTGTGGTCCAAGGCACTCTTAGCATTTTTCTCCAACACCACAGTTCCAAAGTGCCTCTCTTCCTTCGCTCAGCGTTCCTCATGGTCCAGCTCTCGAATCCATAGGTTACTATGTGGAATACCATTGCTTTAACTATGCGGATCTTCATTGCCAGTGTGATGTCTCTACTCTTCACTATTTTATCGAGATTGGACATTGCTCTCCTCCCAAGAAGTAAGCGTCTCCTGATTTCCTGGCTGCAGTCTGCATCTGCAGTAATCTTTGCACCTAGAAATACAAACCCTGTCACTGCCTCCACGTTTTCCCCCTCTATTTGCCAGTTATCAGTCAGTCTGGTTGCCATAATCTTGGTTTTTTTAAAAAAATGTTTAACTGCAAACTTTTGTCCTTTCTTCCTTCCATCCCAAACCTGGATTAGAAGGCTCTTCAGTTCCTCCTTGCTTTCAGCCATCAAAGTATTTCTCCCACCTTGGACATTCCATAGATAGATACATAGATAGATAATAGGCATGGTTTGGTGCCGTCGGAATCTTCGTAATTCGGAATAAATTCGTAAAAATTACCTTTTCGAAGCAATTTTGAAGTTTTTGCCCTTCCGAAGCTTTTTCCGCCATTTTTGTTACAACTCATGAAGTGAGTCAGAAATGATTCAACTTTTCCCCGCTTCTGGTCTCTGGCCTCGGCCCAAGCCAGAGAAGCCAGTTTTAAACCAGAGAAGGAAGGAATTTCCTGGCCTTGGTTCAAGCCAGAGAAGCCAGTTTTAAACCAGAGAAGGAAGGAATTTCCTGGCCTTGGTTCAAGCCAGAGAAGACAGTTTTAAACCAGAGAAGGAAGAAATTTCCTGGCCTTGGCTCAATCCAGAGAAGACAGTTTTAAACCAGAGAAGGTAGGAATTTCCTGGCCTTGGCTCAAGCCAGAGAAGACAGTTTTAAACCAGAGAAGGAAGGAATTTCCTGGCCTTGGCTCAAGCAGAGAAACCAGTTTTAAAGCCAGAGAAGGTAGGAATATCCTGGCCTTGGCTCAAGCCAGAGAAACCAGTTTTAAACCAGAGAAGGAAGGAATTTCCTGGCCTTGGCTCAAGCAGAGAAACCAGTTTTAAAGCCAGAGAAGGTAGGAATTTCCTGGCCTTGGCTCAAGCCAGAGAAGCCAATTTTAAAGCCAGAGAAGGTAGGAATTTCCTGGCCTTGGCTCAATCCAGAGAAGACAGTTTTAAACCAGAGAAGGTAGGAATTTCCTGGCCTTGGCTCAAGCCAGAGAAGCCAATTTTAAAGCCAGAGAAGGTAGGAATTTCCTGGCCTTGGCTCAATCCAGAGAAGACAGTTTTAAACCAGAGAAGGTAGGAATTTCCTGGCCTTGGCTCAAGCCAGAGAAGCCAATTTTAAAGCCAGAGAAGGTAGGAATTTCCTGGCCTTGGCTCAATCCAGAGAAGACAGTTTTAAACCAGAGAAGGTAGGAATTTCCTGGCCTTGGCTCAAGCCAGAGAAGCCAGTTTTAAACCAGAGAAGGAAAGAATTTCCTGGCCTTGGCTCAATCCAGAGAAGACAGTTTTAAACCAGAGAAGGTAGGAATTTCCTGGCCTTGGCTCAAGCCAGAGAAGCCAATTTTAAAGCCAGAGAAGGAAGGAATTTCCTGGCCTTGGCTCAATCCAGAGAAGACAGTTTTAAACCAGAGAAGGTAGGAATTTCCTGGCCTTGGCTCAATCCAGAGAAGACAGTTTTAAACCAGAGAAGGCAGGAATTTCCTGGCCTTGGCTCAAGCCAGAGAAGACAGTTTTAAACCAGAGAAGGAAGGAATTTCCTGGCCTTGGCTCAATCCAGAGAAGACAGTTTTAAACCAGAGAAGGTAGGAATTTCCTGGCCTTCGCTCAATCCAGAGAAGACAGTTTTAAACCAGAGAAGAAAGAAATTTCCTGGCCTTGGCTCAAGCAGAGAAGCCAGTTTTAAACCAGAGAAGGAAGGAATTTCCTGGCCTTGGCTCAATCCAGAGAAGACAGTTTTAAACCAGAGAAGGTAGGAATTTCTTGGCCTCGGCTCAAGCAGAGAAGCCAGTTTTAAAGCCAGAGAAGCCAGTTTTAAACCACAGAAGGTAGGAATTTCCTGGCTTTGGCTCAAACAGAGAAGCCAGTTTTAAACCAGAGAAGGTAGGAATTTCCTGGCCTTGGCTCAATCCAGAGAAGACAGTTTTAAACCAGAGAAGGCAGGAATTTCCTGGCCTTGGCTCAAGCCAGAGAAGACAGTTTTAAACCAGAGAAGGAAGGAATTTCCTGGCCTTGGCTCAATCCAGAGAAGACGGTTTTAAACCAGAGAAGGTAGGAATTTCCTGGCCTTCGCTCAATCCAGAGAAGACAGTTTTAAACCAGAGAAGAAAGAAATTTCCTGGCCTTGGCTCAAGCAGAGAAGCCAGTTTTAAACCAGAGAAGGAAGGAATTTCCTGGCCTTGGCTCAATCCAGAGGAGACAGTTTTAAACCAGAGAAGGTAGGAATTTCTTGGCCTCGGCTCAAGCAGAGAAGCCAGTTTTAAAGCCAGAGAAGCCAGTTTTAAACCACAGAAGGTAGGAATTTCCTGGCTTTGGCTCAAACAGAGAAGCCAATTTTAAAGTCAGAGAAGGAAGGAAATTCCTGGCCTTGGCTCAAGCCAGAGAAACCAGTTTTAAACCAGAGAAGGAAGGAATTTCCTGGCCTTGGCTCAAGCAGAGAAACCAGTTTTAAAGCCAGAGAAGGTAGGAATTTCCTGGCCTTGGCTCAAGCCAGAGAAGCCAATTTTAAAGCCAGAGAAGGTAGGAATTTCCTGGCCTTGGCTCAAACAGAGAAGCCAGTTTTAAAGCCAAAGAAGGTAGGAATTTCCTGGCCTTGGCTCAAGCCAGAGAAGACAATTTTAAGCCAGAGAAGGTAGGAATTTCCTGGCCTCGGCTCAATCCAGAGAAGACAGTTTTAAACCAGAGAAGGAAGGAATTTCCTGGCCTTGGCTCAATACAGAGAAGACAGTTTTAAACCAGAGAAGGTAGGAATTTCTTGGCCTCGGTTCAAGCAGAGAAGCCAGTTTTAAAGCAGAGAAGGAAGGAATTTCCTCCCCTTGCTTATTCCTGCTTCTGGTCCCTAGCCTCGGCTCAAGCCAGAGAAGACAGTTTTAAACCACAGAAGGAAGGAATTTCCTGGCCTCGGCTAAAGCAGAGAAGCCAGTTTTAAAGCCAGAGAAGCCAATTTTAAACCAGAGAAGGTAGGAATTTCCTCTGCTTGCTTTTCCTCGCTTCTGGAGTAAAACAACTACTTTCAAAGTAATGACGACCCAATGAAACAGGAAATAACACTTTCAAACCATTAATGAAAGGATTCGGAAGTGTCGGAAGTTTCGAAAAGTTTTGAACATTTTTAATGTGAAAATCAGAATTGACTTTAGAATCGAACCACCATCCGAAACGAGTTTTGAACCATTTTTTTTAATCAAACAAGCTTAATAGATAGATAAACACACACGTACAACACTTGCCTCATTGCCAACACAACCTCTGAAGATGCAGTTAGCCACAGATGCAGGCAAAACATCAGGAGCGAATGCTGCTGGAACATACAGCCCAAAAAATCTTACAGCAACCCAGTGATCCATGTATCTTTGGGTGCATCTACACTGCGGAATGAATGCAATTTGGCACCACTTCAATGGTCATGGCTCAATGCTCTGGAATACTGAGAGTTGTAGTTCTCCAAAATCTTCAACCTTGTCTCCCAAAGGGTGCTGGTGCCTCGATGACAAATCCCAGGATCCAATAGCCTTTAGCCATGGAAGGTAAAGTGGCCTCCAATTATAATAATGCTCCAGTGTTGATGCACCTGAAGTCTTTCAAATCCAGTATTAGGAGTGATCAAAAGAACTGACAATCATTTCTGGTATCCGTACCTGGAAGAGCGTCTGGCTCCTGGCTGATAATTGCACCACCTTTGTGTTGCTGCTCCTGCGCCCGCGCCTCTGCAGCTCGAACACAACTTTCGGGAGAGTCACTTCAAACCCACGGTCCTCTTCGCCCTCCTGTAGAAGGAAAGAAAACACAAGGCTTTGGAGTCTGAGACTCGAGTGAAAGACAATTTATTTCATTATGGGATGGGGTTGCTAGCTTGGAAATTGGAGAGAAGTCCCTCTATTTAAAGCACGTTGGATTCAATTTCATCACATAGAACGACAGGATTTTGGACTTTAGGAGAGCTGATTTCCGAAAATGAAGGAAACACTGAGCAGCATTCCGTGGACACAGATACTAAAAGACAAGGGAGTCACGGATGCATGGGAATTTCTCAAGAGTGAAATACTCAAGGCGCAATTGCAAACTGTGCCAATAAAGAGAAAAAATAGGACAAGTGCAAAGAAGCCAGAATGGATGTCCAAAGAACTTCTAACTATGCTAAGACACAAAAGAGACATGCACAAGAAGTGCAAAAAGGGAGAAATCACCAAAGAAGAATTCAAACAGTCAACACCTGTAGGGAAAAGGTCCGCAAGGCTAAAGCACAAAACGAGCTCAGGCTTGCCAGGGACTTTAAAAACAACCTTCAGGTCAGCAACCTAACCTTCAAGTCATCAGTCCTGCCAGCACAAGGATTTAACCCACTGCGCCACCGGAGGCTCAATAATAATAATAATAATTATTATTATTTATTTATTTATTTATTTATTTACGACATGTATATGCCGCCCTTCTCACCCCGAAGGGGACTCAGAGTGGCTTAAATACACACACACACACACACACACACACACACATATACATACAATATATACAATTATTAGCATAGTACAATATCAGTATTATATATTACTATATTATACTATACCATTATATTGTAATATTAGTAATATTACATGTAATATAAAATATATATTATATCATATTATTATTAAGTATTATTATTGTATTACATTATAATATTATAAATATTATATGTATATATATACAATATATTATTATATTATATTATATTATATTATATTATTAGCATAGCACAGGAGACAAGGTGGAACTGTCCCCTGGCTCCCTCTCTCTTCACTCTGGCCCTGAGGGGAGGGGTCCTATAATAATTATTATAATATAATATAATATAATATAATAATTCCTATACTGGATAGTTTATACATATCTTTCCCAATTCCCAACTCTTTGCTCACCTCTAGTTCAGACTTGATGTGTAAGTCTTTGGGGGTTTGGATTTTCCATACGCTTGCATTCAGCAGCATCCCTGCTCGCAAAGTTTTATTCTCCCCCGAGAACTCCATTCCTCCCAGTTTGGACTCCAAATTGAGAAGATGCCTGTTGGGAAAGGTGGAAAGAAAAGTCTGGTTGAATGGTAACAAGGCCTCCTGGTTCAAAAAGTGCATCAAAGAAGAAGATGGAGACCGTATTGTCGAAGGCTTTCATGGCCGGAATCACTGGGTTGTTGTAGGTTTTTTCGGGCTATATGGCCATGTTCTAGAGGCATTCTCTCCTGACGTTTCGCCTGCATCTATACCAAGCATCCTCAGAGGTAGTGAGGTCTATTGGAACTTGGAAAAAGGGTTTATATATCTGTGGAATTATCGAGGTGGGATAAAAGACTCTTGTCTGCTGGAACTAGGTGTAAATGTTTCAACTGACCACCTTGATTGATGGCCTGGCAGTGCCTGGGGCAATCTTTTGTTGAGAGGTGATTAGATGTCCTTGTTTGTTTCCCCTCTGTTGTTTTGTTGTTCTAATTTTAGAGTTTTTTTTAATACTGGTAGCCAGATTTTGTTCATTTTCAAAAAACCTACAAAAACCCATTATTATTATTATTATTATTATTATTATTATTATTATTATTATTTCTTACTCATTCTGGTTTCCCTCTCCTTCTCTCTTTCTCCTCCCTAGGAATTATCGTGAATTATGAAGAGTTGGATGTTTCTGCTCTCCAAATACGGAAATCAAACATTGCTCGACAGCCCTCGAAAAAACTCCAGATCTGAGCACCTTAAGGTTAGAGCCAGATGGAGAGCCTTTGCCATGCTTTTCTCCCTTCTCCTCTTTGCCTCTGTTTAACATGAACTTGATAAGTGAGTTCAGAAGGACTCCGAAGAAAATGTCTCCCCAATTCCCACCTCTTGAAGAACTCACACAAAAGGATTCCCCCGTTTGGGTGTCCTCCCTTGAACAGGAAGCTTCATAGTATCTTCCAACTTCTTTAGGGTTTCTTCCGTTCGCCTGAGTTCCTTTTCCACTTCCTTTGGGTCAAGCTTCCCCGAATCTAAGAACGAAAGCAAAAGATAATGAGCCTCATTGCAAAACTTGGAATTATTTTGGATTGCAGCGCCCAGAATCCCCCAGACAGTATGGTCACAGGCAGACACGGCCCTAGGTAATTTTCAACAGTAAGCAAACAGTATTTTGGCGCCCCCCACCACCAATCATTGATATATATTTTCTGTTCGTCGTGGGAGTTCTGTGTGCCATATTTGGTTCAATTTGGTGGAGTTCAGAATGCTCTTTGATTGTAGGTGAACTATACATTCCAGTAACTACACTTGCCGCACTAGCTCCCTTGCCTGGCCCGCTTTGGGTCCGGAGGCGTGCCTGAAGACCCCGGCGTGTGCACCAAAAGTCACCTCTTCTCCTGACTTTCTCCTCAGCCATTGGGACCAAGAGAGAGAGAGAGAGAGGTGGAAATGCCCACCTTTCCTGAAGGTAGGCGCAAAAACAAAGGAGGGAGCGGAGGTGGGAGATACCTCCAGCCGGAGGGGCTCTCTCTCTCTCTCTCTCTCTCTCTTTCTCTTGGTCCCAATGGCTGAAGAGAAAGTCAGGAGAAGAGGCGACTTTTGGTGCGCACGCTGGGGTCTTCAGACACGCCTCCGGACCCGAAGCAGGCCAGGCATGGCGGCTCCGCCCCTTGGCCCACCTGCGGATTGGGAAGAGGAGAGGAGGTGGGTGGAGCGCCGGGAGATCGGGAATGGAAGCCGGTCATGGGGAAGGGATCGAACGCGGAGAACGATTTAGTGCCGGCTCTGCTCACACACCCGGTGGCCGGGTGGAGCAGGAACGAGAGGGGCTAGGCGAGGCTCAAGGGCCCGGCCCCTTTGGGAAGAGGATCGCCTGGCAGTGAGGCAAGAAAGCTGAGGCTCCCCCCGGACTGCTAGGGCTGTTGTGAGCTGAGGGGGCGCTCCTCAAGTGGCCGTCAAGGGGCATTTACAGAGGCACCTCTGCACCCCTGGCAAAAAAAAGTGTTCTGCGACCGCTTACTTCGCGTAATGAACGAGCCGCCCCTGTCTGTGTGCCAAGTTTGGTTCAATTCCATCATTGGTGGGGTTCAGAATGCTCTTTGATTTTAGGTGAACTATAAATCCCAGCAACTACATACATTGGGTTGTTAGGTGTCTTGTGTCCAAATTTGGTGTCAATTAGTCCAGTGGTTTTTGAGTTCTGTTAATCCCACAAACGAACATTGCATTTTTATTTATATAGATTATGTAGGCGAAACATCAGGAGAGAATGCTACTGGGACATGGCCATACAGCCCGAAAAACTCACAGCAACCCAAATGGGGAAGTTACTTCAGGGGCTGCACCTGGAACTCCTATTTGAGGGACATAATCTCTAATTTAATTGCTACGGCTCAATCCTGTGTGATCCTGGGATTTATAGTTTGGTGAGGCATAGCATTCTTTGACAGTGAAGGATCAAGACCTTGTAAAACTACAGCCCTTATGATTCCATAGCATTGAATCAAGGCAGTTAAAGGTTTTCAGAGAGTGCCAAGGAACCCCAGAAATGTCCTCAAAGGGCACATCTTCCCCTTCCTAAAACAGCCCAACATACCTTCGAAGGTGAAGCTGTAGATGGATGCGCTTGCAAGCGAGACGTTGTGGGTGCCCTTGCTATAGGCATAGGAGATGTTGTAAAGAGGGCAAGTATTGCTCTCGTTGGGCGTCCCGGAGATACGGGGCAAGTAGAGGGAATACTCCGCCTGCGTGCTGAGCGTGAAATTTTTGCTCCCGTAGGTGAGCCTGAAAAGGCGAGCGTCTTGGAACCAGAAGATGCAGAAGCGGTAGATCCCCACACGGTCGGGCAGGTCCCACGTTTGGGATCCAATGGTATCCTCCGGAGGAAACGGGGCACTTATATCCAAACCATCCACTCGGTTCACGATGCGGATCAGGTCCTTCTGGATTCGGTAGTGGACGAAGCCCAAGTCGGTTTGTTTTCGGTCTGCACAGAACCGGAAATCTTCCTGATTCGTGTCACTTCCACGAACGCCTGCATCGCAACATGCCCAGAAGAAATTGGTAAATCAATAGGAATTCTACACCTAGTAATAACACTATGTAACACAGAGTTTTTGTTGCTGGCTTATCAATGTCATTATTTTCTAATTGGTTGTATCATAAAAACATGGAAAAGGTCTTTGCAGAAGGGACGTTGTAATGAATCCCTTACCTTGGCAAGCTAGCTTAGGCCTAGGAAGGTGGGCCTGGCGAAGCCATTGCATCCATTTTAGAGAAAGGAGATAGGGAGACGCCATCTTAGGTTAGGTTTGCCTTAAGGGGGCATGTTAGAACGATGGTTAGAACAATGGGGGTGGAGCCTAAATGATCTGAAGGGGAAAAAAGTGACTTTTAAACTGAGGCTTGAGTTCTCAGATTGCCAGTTGAGAGTTGGGAGTTGGAGCTTGGAAAGGGTGTTAGTGAGAGCAGTTTGGGGTTTTGAAGAAGGACTTTGGGTCAGCATTTTGTTTAGTATTCAGGATAGCTATACAAAAATATAGCTAGAATACTGTGGGGAGCAGCACCCCATTAGTGGTCTGTTAAGGAAGGCTAGTTCAGGTTTTGGCTAGTTTCCTAAGGGGGATTTTTGTGGGAGTTACTTTCAGAGATTCATTTCCTGAAGTAATTTTCTGTGTGGAAACTTTAAGACTTGTAACCCAAAAGTTTTTAAGATCTCTTCTTAAACGTAACCACAAGCTTTGTATGCCAGATTTTTACTGAAACCATTAAGCTTTTGTACCTGAATATTTGAAACCTGTTCAATAAATGTTCTTGTTATTTTTATCAACTAATACCAGCCTCAGTGTGAATACCTTTGTGGAAAAAGTATTATTCAAGTCAGGTTTTTTTACCAGCCTCTAAGAAAACTAGAGTAACGCAGAGTGTGATACTGAACAACCTCTCAGTAGTACCTCAGCCTGTTCTTTAATAATATGGTGGAAGCGGAAACCTATTAAAGAATCATTTTTAAATCTCACAGTTCCAGTGGTTCCCAGTTCCTAGCTTGTAAATATACAGCTGGTTCAACAACTAGTCTCCCTCTATATTTTTGATGAGCTAATCTGTAGTGGTTTGATTCCTTATAATTTGGTGGTACATGGATTGGATCATTATAGACATCCTGCAGCACAATTTGCTCTAGTTTTCAATGAATATCTCATTGAGTCTCAACCATTTCAACCTAGTTTGTTGCAGCCACAAAAACAAAGTTTCTGGGAGAGAACAGCTGCTTTCAAAGTAAGAACTGCACAATTAAACAGGTAACAACACTTTCAAACCAGGAACAGAAAATTTGCATATCTAGGTATGTAAACATTAAAGTACATTTGGGATGTTATTATGTGTTTTTGTCTTGTATTTTATGTTAAATCTGAACATTAGGAAGAACTTCCTGACTGTGAGAGCTGTTCAGCAGTGGAACTCTCTGCTCCGGAGGTGTGGTAGAGGCCCTTCTTTGGAGGCTTTTAAACAGAGGCTAGACGGCCATCTGTCGGGGGTGCTTTGAATGCAGTTTTCCAGAATGGGGTTGGATTGGATGGCCCATGAGGTCTCTTCCAACTCTAGGATTCTAATGTCAAGGGGAAAACTTTACCTTTAGTCTCATAGGTATCTTTCCAAATCCCTGATCTAGAAGACACCGGTTTTTAGGGAAATGCAACACTAATATTTCTATTCTACACGTGCCCTTAGTATAAGGCACCTTCCCCCTGCCCGCTATAAAGGCCAAATCCCTTTGCTCCTCTCTTTCGGGCACCTCTTTGATAAATACAGTTTTTTCCCTATCTCGCCAGGGTTTTAACATTTTATTTATTTGTTTATTTATTTGTTTGTTTACAGTATTTATATTCCGCCCTTCCCACCCCACAGAGGACTCAGGGCGGGTTACAATGTACATATACATGGCAAACATTCAATGCCATAGACATACAACACATATAGACAGACATTCAGAGGCTATTTAACATTCCAATTTTCTGGCCACCAGGGGAGCTGTCGCTTCACCGTCCGTTTGTGACACTGATGAAGTACTTCCTCATTCTTTGCATACTTCTTGGAGATTTTTATGGCCTTGTAAATCAGCTAAATTAGCCTCTCCACATAAGTGGCACCTATATTTTCTACTTGACAGATGCAACTGTCTTTTGGGTTGCAAAGGTCGACAACAAGCTACACAAATTGGCCGGAAGCTCACTCCGACCCGGGCTGGCTTCGAACTCATGACCTTTCGGTCAGTAGTGATTTTAATGCAGCTGACTCTCAGCCAGCTGCGCCATAGTCCCTAAACAACAAGTTTAGACAGATACTCAGAGGCTATTTAACATTCCAGCTTCTGGCCACAGGGGAGCTGTCGCTTCACCGTCCGTTTGTGACACTAATGAAGCACTTCCTCATTCTTTGCATACTTCCTGGAGATTTTTATGGTCTCATAAATCATTTAAATTAGCCTCCCTACATAAGTGGCACCTAAATTTCCTACTTGACAGATGCAACTGTCTTTCAGGTTGCAAAGGTCGACAACAAGCTACACAAATTGGCCGGAAGCTCACTCCAACCCGGGCTGGCTTCGAACTCATGACCTTTCGGTCAGTAGTGATCTTAAATGCAGCTGATACCCAGAAAGCTACGCCACAGTCTGGCCCGCCCTCTGTGTTTGATTTTATTATGTTGTTTTATATTATTTTTGTTGCAACCCAGATCAGGAAACAAGACCATAAGATATTAATCCACCACACTTGACTGTAGGAAAAAACAATCCTTTTTATTGATAAAAATGGTTACAAAATAGAGGAAAATACAAAGTCAAAAAGCCACAGTAAAACTCAGCAGTCAGGAATATCTCAGAACTAGATCAAAATTCCAAAAGCAATACTATAAAAACCTGGAACCTGTTAGCATCTCACTAACCATACTTGGAAACTAGAAGCCTCTGGGAATGCAGGCCATGGAAACCGGGAAATCTGCCAAGGTAATGCCTCAGTCTAAACGATGCTTGATCTAACGAGAGAGCCCGGGGAGAGACACTTAAAGCTAAAGAAACTGTTTCGGGACACGCCTCCAGACTTTGAAGCCTGTGCCTCCCTTTCCTTTAATCTGCTTGACCTCCGCAGACTTTGTTATTCACTCCTGCTTTTCCAAATCTGTCCTTTTCTATCCTCATTAAAAAAGGCAGGTGCTAGCTCCTCTGGAGAGCTATCACCGCTTGATTCAGAAACATTCCCATCAGGATGTGTAGTTTCACTTTCCAAGCCACTGACCTCAGAATCAACATTTTCAATACCCTCAGGGACAAATTCATGTTCAGTAACCTGTTCAGTTGCATCAGGACATACAATCAGAGAATCGGGTTCAGGTTCACACGGAGGCTGAACCCCAACAATTTTATTGTTATTTTATATATTTTGTTGTGATTTATTATCTTGTCTATGTTGTGTTTAATCATGTTGTATTGTTTTGGGCTTGGCCTCATGTTAGCCGCCCCGAGTCCCCTCTGGAAAGATGGTGGTGTGTAATAAATAAAGTTTATTATTTATTATTCTTCCATGCATAAAGATAACACACAAATTGTTTTGCTTACCTGGGAACTGGAAAAGCAGAGGCAATAGAAGGAAGAACATCCTTGCAGCTTGATTTTGTGCCAAGGGTATCTTTTACGGCCAGGGTCTTACAGCAAAGAGCAACTCCAAGCTTGGCTGCATAAGCCCATGAACTCTCGAGGTTCTTCTTCGGATCAGCTCCAAAGATCGGAAAGTCTGGGTGTGAAAACCCCCATCATTTTCTATCTGTATGTATTAAAAAAAAGAATGGTGGTTAAACGCTTGTGATCCTGGAATTGTTTGCAAACTTCAAAATTATTATGTTCCTGGAAGCTTTAACTCAGCGGTTCTCAACCTGGGGGTCGCAACCCCCAGGGGGGTCGTTGGGCCATTTTGGAGGGGTTGCGAGGCCGCCTCCTTAGGCCCCCAATGCTGCGACCCAGCCGAGGGCCTCTCATGAAGCCTTTCTTGGCTGGGCCGCGGTCTCGCCTTCCGGCAAGGGCGCAACCCAGCCAAGTACTCGCCTCACGCAAAGTCTCCCTCAGCTGGGAAGCGGTCCCACCTTCCGTCAAGGCCATGGCCCAGCTGAGGGCTCCTAAGTGCGAAGCCTGGCCCCACGCAAAGCCTCCCTCGGCTGCCTTGGGGTTTTGCTAGCCTGCAAAGCCGCGAGCCAGCCAAGAGCTCCAAAGTGCGAGGTCTGGCCCTCGCCTGGCTCTAGCCACTTGCCAGCCGGCAGGGAGTTCTGTATGCCAGGTTTGGATCAATTCCATAATTGTTGGAATTGCTCTTTAATGACAGGGGAGTTACACCTCCAAGCAACTGCAACTCCCAAATGTCAGAGTGAAGCCGAGCACCCCCTCCCCCCCAAAAAAATAAGGGATAGTGACTTATAGTTCTGCAAAGGGCAAGGGCACCAGACTACACAATAGGTGTTAAGTCTTGGTCACATTACCAAGGTACTGACAACAACAAGGACACCACGAGGCTTTTGGGGAATGGCTGGATCTTGGGACTTCTGCCCTTCATGAGAGTTGTAGTTTCCCAGGGACCAGCTTCGATCCCAGCGTGGCAGCTCTGCCTAATGTTTTGGACTCACAAGGACATCTTTCCCACTCGTGAACTTCCCTCAAAATGAACTATGGACTCACATTGCTTGAAAATAATTTCTTTATTACATTTCTCTGGTGGTGGGATGGAGAAGGGGTGATGGATATGAATTTCCTACAATTTCTATATACTTTCCTTCTATGTATTTCCTTCACAAGTCTGACCCAGCCATGAACTCTTTTGCCCTTTGGGAGGCTGATCAGGGAGTGGCCCATTGGGCTGAAAAGGCAATCAGGAATCACAAAAACACCTATTTACTTGGAACTCACATCTGAACAATGGGACCTGGAGTTACTATTTGACTTTAGGATGGGGTCATCAGACTGTGATTTCCTCTGCCAAGTTTCCCTTCACAACAAACATCCTTCTCAGCCTCACCTTTTACCTTATCTGATCCTGGAAGGGGAAAGCCTGCATCTAATGATTATCCCTAATCACTGATCCATCACAAGAACAAAAAAACTAGTTTCCTTGGCTGGCTGATCCCTCAGGCACAGGAAATCCAGGACAGTGGAATGTCACAATCCTCTCTGGACACATTGTCCCTCTTCCGACCTGCCTCCCTCTCCCTGATTTGCTAAGGAGCCGAAGAGGGAGGGAGTTTTGAAACTTTCAAACCTGTATTTTGCTATAAATATGTCTCTGATCAATGTACTGGTATGCTTGCATGTGAATGATCACTGCAATTGCATCCGATCCAGCTGAATCGCTCATTAAACCTCGATGCCTCTTCTTCGCCTTTGCAAGAGTCTCATTTCAATTATTAGGGCTAGAAGGCATGATCATCAAGTTTGCAGACGACACCAAATTGGGAGGGATAGCCAATAGTCCAGAGGACAGGAGCAGAATTCAAAACGATCTTGACAGATTAGAGAGATGGGCCAAAACTAACAAAATGAAGTTCAACAGTGACAAATGCAAGATACTCCACTTTGGCAGGAAAAACAAAATGCAAAGATACAGAATGGGGGACTGCCTGGCTCGAGAGCAGTACGTGTGAAAAAGATCTTGGAGTCCTCGTGGACAACAAGTTAAACATGAGCCAACAATGTGATGTGGCGGCAAAAAAAGCCAATGGGATTTTGGCCTGCATCAAGAGGAGCAAGTGTCTAGATCTAGGGAAGTCATGCTACCTTTCTATTCCACTTTGGTTAGACCACACCTGGAATATTGTGTCCAATTCTGGGCACCACAATTCAAGAGAGATTGACTCTAAGCTGGAATGTGTCCAGAGGAGGGCGACTAAAATGATCAAGGGTCTGGAGAACAAGCCCTATGAGGAGCGGCTTAGGGAACTGAGGCATGTTTAGCCTGAAGAAGAGAAGGCTGAGAGGAGATATGATAGCCATGTATAAATATGTGAGAGGAAGCCACAGGGAGGAGGGAGCAAGCTTGTTTTCTTGCTTCCTTGGAGACTAGGACGCGGAACAATGGCTTCAAACTACAAGAGAGGAGATTCCATCTGAACATTAGGAAGAACTTCCTGACTGTGAGAGCCGTTCAGCAGTGGAACTCTCTGCCCCGGAGTGTGGTGGAGGCTCCTTCTTTGGAAGCTTTTAAGCAGAGGCTGCATGGCCATTTGTCAGGGGTGATTTGAATGCAATATTCCTGCTTCTTGGCAGGGGGTTGGACTGGATGGCCCATGAGGTCTCTTCCAACTCTTTGATTCTATGATTCTATTATTTTAATATTAATAAAATTGCTGGAATCAGGCTTCTCTGACGGCTCGCCAAGGTCATGGGCCCTGTTTGGAGCAGTCCTAGGGGTCTCTCTAACTGGGGAGACCCTCCTAAAGTCCGTATTGACTTCAAGAGTCTATTTTCCCCAAACCTCTGCAGTATTTTGTTTTGGTCATCGGAATTCTGTATGCCAAGTTCTGTTCAATTCCATGGTTGTCGGAGTTCAGAATGCTCTTTAATGGCATGCAAACTATTCAGCCAAGCAACTACAACTCCCAAATGTCAGGGTGTATTTTCCCCAAATTCCGCCAGTGTTCAAATGTGGCCATATTGAATATTCGTGCCACGTTTGGTCCAGATCCATAGTTGTTTGGGTTCACAATGCTCTCCAGATGTAGGTAAACTACATCTCCCTTAAACCAGTGTCAATTCCTCCCAAACCCCTCCAATATAATTTGTTTGACATGGGAGTTCTGTGTGGAGGTCTCTGTGGTCTATGGAAGTCAGAGCTCAATCGACTGAAGGCACTGCAAATCTCATCATCTGTTTTCCATACTCCCCCAAACATATTTTTCTTATTAATCAAGATGCTTTAATTATGGTGAATTTGTAACAATGAAAACACACCCTGCATATCAGATATTTACATTACAATTCGTAACAGTAGCAAAATTACAGTTATAAAGGAGCAACGAAAATAATTTTATGGTTGGGGGTCACCACAACAAGAGGAACCATATTTAGGGGTCACGGCGTTAGAAAGGTTGAGAACCACTGCTTTAACTGGTCTGTGAATGCGGCATCTTGAATCACAATGCATTGCAATACTGGCAATTTGGTGATATGACGAACAAGGGGCGATTCTTCGCACCTTCAAAACACCTTCCCAGAAGCATACAAGAAGCTCAGCCTGTCACTGAACATCGAGAAAACCAAAGTGCTCTTCCAGCACTCACCAGCCAATCCCTCTCCAATGCCAGAGATACAGCTTAATGGTGTAACATTAGAAAATGTGGATCCTTTCTGCTCCCTTGGCAGCCCCCTCTTCACAAAAGTCAACATTGACACTGAAATTCAACATCACCTGAGCTCTGCAAGTGCAGCATTCTTCCAAATGAAGCAGAGAGTGTTTGAGGACCGGGACATCCGTAGGGAGACCAAGGTGCTTGTTTATAAAGGGCAAGATGGATGAATGGCATCCTTGAAGTGACTGGATTGACCTTGAAGGAGCTGGGGGTGGTGATGGCCGACAGGGAGCTCTGGCGTGGGCTGATCCATGAGGTCACGAAGAGACGGAGACGACTGAACGATTGAACAACAACAACAATACTAAGGCCTGAGCAAAGCAGAAGAGAGAGGGGCTGTATGACTTCCCTCCATGTAAACACCAGACTGGCGTGATATGATGGAACTAAAAGCACATCTTCCTCATTCCTGTATCTTCTTCTTCTCCTTTGGTGCATTCTTATCGCATCAGCATTTCTGTGATTTGATGCATGCTTTTGCACAGCAAGATTGAGACCAAAAGCCTGGGAAATGGGCCCGTTTGGCTTTGCTGAGAGGAGCCCGCAGTTTCCGCAAATCTATTTCAGCGCCTGTCTGGTCTTTGAGGGATGCGCGACCCTGTTCTTGTCTACGTGCGTTTTGCTGCTTTTGAAAAGAAGAAAAGGGTTTGGGTTTAACCACATGCTGATGCTGTTGTTTCTTAGTTGCAAGAGGCCACAAAAAAAGCTTGTTTTTCTGAGGTGCGCAAAGGGGTCACCCTGAAAAACACATCCAGCAGTCTATATGTTGTTGTTCATTCGTTCAGTCATCTCCGACTCTTCGTGACCTCATGGACCAGCCCACACCAGAGCTCCCTGTCGGCCGTCACCACCCCCAGCTCCTTCAAGGTCAGTCCAGTCACTTCAAGGATGCCATCCATCCATCTTGCCCTTGGTCGGCCCCTCTTCCTTTTCCCTTCCACTTTCCCCAGCATAATTCCCTTCTCTAGGCTTTGCTGTCTCCTCATGATGTGGCCAAAGGACTTCATCTTGGCCTCTACTATCCTTCTCTCCAATGAGCAGTCGGGCTTTATTTCCTGGAGGATGGACTGGTTGGATCTTCTCGCAGTCCAAGGCACTCTCAGGACTTTCCTCCAACACCACAGCTCAAAAGCATCTCTCTTCCTTCGCTCAGCCTTCCCGAAGGTCCAGCTCTCACATCCGTAGGTGACTACAGGGAATACCATGGCTTTGACTAGGCAATGGATCTTTGTTGCCAGTCTGATGTCTCTACTCTTCACTATTTTATCGAGACTGGACATTGCTCTCCTCCCAAGAAGAAAACGTCTCCTGATTTCCTGGCCACGGTCTGCATCTGCAGTAATCTTTGCACCTAGAAATACAAAGTCTGTCACGGCCTCCACGTTTTCTCCCTCTATTTCCCAGTTGTCAATCATTCTTGTTGCCATAATCTTGG